GATGAGATACGTTGATACAACAACACAACGAAGCAATCACTAAAGCTATCTCATTCACAGTTAGCCCAAAAAGCTTGATAAAGAGAGATTTCTAAACTCCTTATCCAGAAGCAAACTTCTCCTCCTTCCAAAAAGCTATAGTGTAAACACTTGAAGGTTTCCTTGCCTCAAGCACCACACCACGTTGAAGGATATTACTTTTGATCAAACTTATTGATTAAAAGGGGGTAGGTCAACTCTCTTACAAGTTGATCTTGCAAGTCCTATTGTTCGGATCTTGCAGTTGTTGAAGAAGCTTGACCTTCGAAGGAACAACAAAGCCAGCACGAGTGCAGTAGCAACATTGGTCTTGTGAAGATATACCGTGCAGAAATTCACACAAGTGTAACTGTTGGTTCATTATTCAACAACCAACTACATAGTGGATTTTGAGGACGTAGAATGATTACCCCACCTTCGAACCTCGTTAAAGTTTGCGTGTCTCTCTCTCTTATCTTTATTCTTACTTGCAATTATATTAACTGTGAAAACTAACCTATCCATATTACTGCTCACTCCACCCACCAAATTCCGCACACAATCTAAAGTTCACAAGAACTCTAGATTAACACTTATTTTCACGTTTTCAAAAGAAACGAAAAAGATTTTAAATTTGTAACAAAGTCTATTCACCCCCCCCCTCTAGACTTTGTATCTCACCACTTTGGGACGACCAATAGCAAAAACTGCTGCCTCGACTTCTTTAGCATCAAAAGGACTATGGAGCGCTTCATTTTGGACCGACATCACCTTCGGCTGAACAAGATGATAAAGTTTTGAATCCCTTGCTCCTTCCGATCGGAAGATAGATGAAAAAGTATCGGGAAATAAGAAGTTTCAAATCCTCGCCCGCATTCCATTCACCCAAACCATTTTGCATACTGATGAAAGAACTTTGTATTCAAGTCAATTTGTTCAAGAAGATTTCATTGTGATGCTTCAAAGGCAAACTAACGGCTGTTTTCTTATTAGCTCTCGTTTTTATTTTAGGTTCCAGCATTGGATTACACCATTTAAATGGAGAAATTACCTTGAATGAAGTTAACTTTGAAATCTTCTTTGGGAGAGGTTCAGAATCTGATGAGTGATGGACTTGCAGATCATTCAGAAGTCCTTACTTTGTTTAAGGATGAATACCCCCTCCCCTTTTCACATTTTTTGGATGTTGAGTGTATTTCTCCTCCTTTGTTCATATCGCAACTCATTGCGAGGTTGCCAAAATAAAGAGGCAAAGAGAGATATGGTTTGTTGTCAAAGGAGTTGATGTGAGGTACTCCTTGAGGGAGTTTGTACTCAGAAGCAGCCTGAACTGCTCTCAGCTTAACGCCGGCTTTGAAAATTCAAAGGAATTGACCTCTACCAAGAATGATTTCATTCGAGCTCACTTTCCTTCTGCAAAGAAGGGAAAGAAATATGTTGTAGTCACATACACGATGGTTGTGCAGCGTTTATTGGACATGTGTAAAGGCTTGGACGGGGAAAAGAAGAATGAATGCCAAGAGATGGAGGCTATGAAAATGGCCACACTATTGTTTGTTGTTGTTGTTCTCTTGGGTCCTGTTGACCGCGACAAGTCTGCGATTCCAGATTGGATTCTGGGCATGATTGGACAGTGGTCAGCAGTTTTAAATATCCCCTGGGGAACCTGGGCATTTATGGAGTCTTTGGGGTCACTGAAAAAGACCTAGGTACTAAGGCAAAATCAATTAGAAGTGGGGCCTCATCAACCATGTACTATACTCGTTTCCTGCTTCCCATTGGGGTAAGGAATTTTTCAATTATAATTTTTCTAATAATTGTTCTTGAAATGTGATCTCATTGAAACTTTCAATATGAAAAGATCCTTTTTTTGGAGAGTTATTTGGGGATTGGAATAAATATTACAACAAGAAGGCAACAAACATCCCCAGCTAGACCAAGAATCTGCCTTTGGGGTGAAACTCCAATAAAGAAGAAAATCACCCATACAAAAATGGATGCTTATGTTAGGGACCTGCAGGTATATTCATATTATTGGTCAATAAAGATCAAAAATTTAAGGAATTCCAAAAATAAAGTGTCATTATTTTGGTTGCAGGCTCTACAGAGCATTCTTGTTCCCGACAGGGTTGAGGCTACTACAGAGTGGTTTTTGAACATCCATCCTCTAGAGATCACATCACACACTGAGTTGGATGCATTTGTGGCAAAGTTAGAGGGTAGAGGGGATGTCCACATTCTGGTGGAGAGGAAGAGAAAAGCATGAAATATCCCTTCACCAACTAGAGATAATTCTGTAGAGCGAAATAAGCACATCTTCTCCTCTCCCCAAGCATCTTAGAATCTTAGGGAATCTCCCATTCCAACATCCCAACTCTATCGTCTCCTACCCCTTACCCCACCAAGCCTTCATCCAATTCCTTTCAAGAACACTCTTTGAGCAAATGTTAAAGAAAATGGATGACATTGCAGAAGAACAACGAAAGAGGTTTAAAGTGCTCCAAAAAAATGTTGATGCTTTGTCAACTTTAATAAATCAAAAGATTGTGAATAAGGTATGTCGAAGCTTTTGAAAGGTCATCGAATAATTAAATTCATCACAACTGATCTTCTTTATGTAAAAATATGAAGGTTAATGTACCAGAATCAGCCGAAGAACTAATAAAGACTCTAGTGGAAGTAAGTTGGAATACTCTCGAGTGCATTCGAAACGTAGTCGAATAACATCATAATGAATGTTTCTTGTCGAAATATTCTCGAATACAGTCAAAATGTTTTGTTTAGTTTTAACTCTGTAAGATCTTTGCACTTTCAGGTGCCAGCGACGACAATCATGGATGATTCTGAAGAGACTGAGGCACTCAATCCTTCACCATTTGATAATGTTTAGGGTTTAATGCGGTCATTTCATTTTGTTTGCTTAAATGTCAAATGAAATCAAAAAATCTGTTCATACTTCATACTCATCATTTCATACTTCATACTCTATAGGTTGCTCCAAGTCTCGATATTTTCCAAATTGCTGGGGAAATAAATCAAGAAAATGAGAATGAGAATCCACTTTTAACTCTTTGGATACTGTTTTAAGTTTGGAGAACAAAATGGTAAATGTCAAAATTCTAGTTTACATTGCATTCGAAAAATAGTCGAATATATTCGAAGCATTCGATTTCATCAATTTTGTCTTTCAGAACATGTTCTAACCACATATTTTTGGACTCCATACTTTTTGTTCTTCTCTGTAGGTTGAGTCTACCCATGAGACAATGGGAACAGACGATGCTGCTTCAATGAAACCTTTGGAACCCCTTGTGCAAGAAAAGGTAAAATTCTAATTTTCATGCATTTGAAATGTAGTCGATATATTCGAAGTATTTCGAATTCATTAATTTTGTCTTTCAGAACATATTTTAACCACATATATTTGTACTTGTGTGTAGGTTGAGTCTACCCATGAGACAATGGGAACATACGATGTTGCTTCAATGAAACCTGTGGAACCCCTTGTGCAGGAAAAGGTAAAATTCTAATTTTCATGCATTCGAAAAGCAGTAAATATATTTGAAGTATTTCGAATTCATTAATTTTGTCTTTCAGAACATGTTCTAACCACATAGGTTGTTTCTTTGCACTATATTTAAGATTTTTTTTGAAAATTTAATATAGGTTAGACTCCATTTAATAAAATACTTTTTGAACTTGACTGTAGGTTGTTTCTCCCTAGAAGGAATTGGGAACCGATGTTGAGATTATTGATGCCCATGTGCATAGAAAGGTTTGATATCTTATTTCCAGTGCTTTCGAATTTGAGTCGAAACTTTCGAAATGCATTCGAATAAACTAATTTTTTATTTTAGGGTGAGAGATTTAAAAAGAAGTCAACCAGTTTGAAGTCTCCATATATAGCAGACGGGAGGAAGAAAAAGAAAGCTGATGAACCCTTAAGCCGCCAAGTAAAGGAGATCTTTTGGAATTTAAGAGCTTGATCATAGAAGCAATTAAAGTTGATCTCTATGTAGATTATTACCTCCAACAGCACAAGGAACATGAGGCCTTTGTGAATACTTGGTGGACTGACCTTCTCACTCCAAGCTTATGGATAACGGATTCTGTAAGTTGCATTAACCTTTCATTCTTCGTACAAAACAATGCTTAACTGTTTAATTTTATAATAACATATTTTTTTGTTAACTAGAATATGAATGAGTACCTTTACATCTTGAGAAGATGCTTATGTAATGACGATGGAGACTCTGTCATTGCGCCTTTAGAATTCACCCACTACTTGGGCTCTTATGCGCATGACCCAGATTGGCCTGTTTTGTCTGGATCCCTTGAACAGATTGTTGATGGTACATACAGCGAAGGGCCAAAAGCATTTAAAACCAAATCCTGGGACAAGAACACTAAGTACATGTATTATTTGAAAGGCACGGGTACACATTGGTTCTGTGTCAAGGCTGACTTTGAGAGGGGCTGCCTCGTCGTGCTTGACTCACTTACTCGGCTCTCTACGATTGATGATATGCGTCGTTATCGGGGTGATGATCTTGTGGGGTTTCTAGGCATTTCCGCTGTAGAGAGATTGGCAAGAACCCCAATAGGTAAATAGCGACTGCAACATCTTTGCGGTAAAAATGTTAGAGTTGGGAGCATAACATACAGATTTTAAACCTTTGGAGAAGATAACAAAAGACAAGATGGCCAACATACGTTTAGAAGTTGCTTGCGACATATGCAAGGAGTACCATTGTAGAAACAAAAAATAAATTTTGTGGTGGATACATATATTATTAATAAAATTGTAAGGAATATTATTAATTTTGTGGTGGATACATATGATTTCATGGAATAGCATATATTATTACACATATTATTAATGTTATTATTAATTTTGTGGTGGATACATATGATTGCATGGAATTGCATGAAGTTGCATTAAAATATTAAATATTATGGGAATTACATTTTAAAATTTGTTCATATAAAATTACATAAAATCACACAGAACGGATTAGCCTGGATCGATCTTTGAGTAGTTTCCGTTTGATCTCTTCAACATTTCGGTCTCTACACAAGCTGCTGCGACCCCTGCATTCCCCTTCATCTGGAGATTGGGTTGGGCGTTTACTGCATTTTTGAAGATCCTAGACATGAACAGCTTTGGCTTGCATTCATTATGTCCGTTTTGTTCTATCAGATAACACCATTCCCCTACTGCAACACTTACGCTGTTGTTTCTATCCTCCATTGAATGATGAGCTATTTACGTGGGCTGGACATCCCAATTGTTCAGCCGCGGCCTCAATGAGTAGATCAGGGAATGGACATCACGCATACAGAGTTCATCATCAAAAGCAAATGCATTTCAATGGAGGATCTGGGAACGGAATCGTAAGTCTGCAGTCGTTGCATGCGTTATCTGATCGAGAAAACCATTACGACCGTTTTATCTGATCGAGAAAACCATTACCACATTTATAGAATAACAACGTACATGAAAGATCCATTTCTATCAATAAATGAAACAAAGGTGAGAAGTGTTAATGATTGTAAAAAAACAGGCTTGTAAGATATGGAATACATTGAGGAAGAATATGAAGTTTGTATGTAACGCCCCAAAACATACCGTAGAATTATTAATGAATAATTATTCGATTAATCAAATTTGTTTTGATTAAAATAAATTGTTGTTGGGTTTTGGGCCGAAATAAAATATATTTTGATATCCAATATCACAATCAGGATAAATTTCATAGAGATAAATCTAATATGTTGTCTATTTGTGTGGTCTTAATTGGAAACCTGAGTACAGACCCAAATCAAGAATAAATAAAGAAATTGTTTATAATGTGAACTTTAAAGTGATTTACTGAAATAAATCATGAGAACAAATGATATGAATTAGATGTGAGAACCTTTTTAAATAAAGGTTAATTAAATCAATTTTAACTTTGTCAAAGTCAAGCATCCAAAAATATGATGTCGGAAAAAGTATTACAAATAAATATAAAAATTATATCGTTGGATAGAGTTTAACTGTCCGATCGCAACGGTGCAAACAGAATTTAATTCGAAGAAAGTTGGACCAAAATGTTTACCCCGACTGGAACCAAAATTGGTCCCAATCAGGGACACTGTGCGAACGGCGCCTCCTCCTCCACTCAGCCGATTACAAATCAATTTCCTACGCAGAAGCACCTCAGCATTGTCCTCTTCTCCTTCACCAACCCCTATATAAAGAGTACTCAAAACCTTCAAATATGCACCATTCCTTCTAAAAATTAGCCCATAAGAATCTTGAGAGTGAGGAGAGCAGTCTGGTGTTGTTGGTTGCCGCCGAAGTCACTGGAGTTGGGAGTAATCGTCGCTAGAAGTTTCTTTGGAAAATTCTCAAAACCTTCGATAAGCTTAGAGGTAAGCCCGTAGATATATCTAGTGACTAGAATGTTCGTATAGATCGTTTCTACGTTCACAAACGATCGTTTGGTTGAGTTTTGTGTTTGACATGCTTGAAGAACCAAGAATCATAAACCATGAAATTGATGTTAAACCTATGAATTAATGATTCCAAAATGATCTATGAACCTTGGAGAACATCTCTATATAGTTTCGATGAAGTTCGGTAACTAAAAAAATTATTTTCAAAATTGTACTCGAGAGGTAGAAGAAGATGAACAGTGGCTGAAAAACCATTGTCTGGATCGATCTAGGGGCTTGGATCGATCCCCTGGGAGTGGTTTTCCATATTATGGATCAATCCAGAGGGCTGGATCGATCCCCCGAAGTTCTGATCCGAAAATTTGCCCGATTTGCTATTTTTGAGCTCTAAAATCCTATTTTTGATACCAATTGATTATGATCATTATAAAGATGATTTTTCACAATAAAATTGATTTTTTTAATAAATAAAAATGGTATGTGATGCATGACAGTAAGTTCGGGTGTTAACACTCGAAGCTAGGCCGCTAATTGTTATCGATTGTTATGTTGATTGATGATTATGATAAATAATTATTATGGATGATTATGAATAATGAGCCTACTGATTAGAATTATTATGGATGATTGGACCATGAGTAAAATGAATACATTTATAATTATGAAATGATGTATAATGTTAAGGGTATCTAGAAGACTCTAAGATATACCCTTTTAGATAATTGATGCTAAGTCTATCTAGAAGACCTCTAGAATAGATCTCATATTAGTATGGATTTGTGAAACATGAATATTCGGATAAAAATCTAATAACGGAATTCATAGACCAAACTGAAGAATCACTCGTTTGGAAATACTTTGACACAATGATGATTAATCACTGTATTGTTGTTGCCTTAAACTAATTATAGTTTAAGCGTCTGAGAATATTTGTTGCCTTAAACTGATTATGGTTTAAGCGTCGGAGAATTGTTGCCTTAATCTGATTATGGTTTAAGCGTCGGAGAGCTATTGCCTTTAACAGATCATGGTTTAAGCGTTGGAGAAATGTTGCCTTAAACTAATTATAGTTTAAGCGTCTGAGAATGAAATTATGATCTGACCTTAGACTAAGAATAACTAAGAGCGTTGTTATGATCTGGCCTTAGACTTAGAATAGCTAAGAGTGTTGTTATGAATTGACCTTAGACTAAGAATAGCTAAGAGCGTTGTAATGATTTGGCCTTAGACCAAGAATAGCTAAGAGCATTGTTATGATCTAAACATAGACTTAGAATAGCTAAGAGCGTTATTATTCACAGCATTGTCGAATAATATCTGAATTGAATAAAATATGTTGATCAGAGCTGAACAATATCAAAATTGAGAATGTCTGAACTGAACATTGTGTGCATGATATCAAATTATTTGATTGTGAATTTAGATTCAGTTTATATGGATGTTCAACGCATTAGATATGCTTACTCATCTTTACCGCTGAGAGTATAGTGTGTTTTATTTGCTACATGCAGGTAAACAGAATGAATAATGTGATCCTGGTGGTAGATGGGGCGAGATTATCGGGATGGATGTGACAAGTTTTAAAATGATTTATGATATGTTAATATTAAATTTGCTTCCGCAATATTGTTGAATACTCCGTACTGTATCTGTTATGAAAAATATTATTGTGATAAATAAAAGTGTTTGAAAAGTTTAAAATTATTACGATTACCAAGTTAATACTTTAGTCCGAAAGGAGTTGTAGACCTGGACGAATTAGAGTGTTACAGTGTAGATAATGAAAAGAGGGTAAGTGGGATAGGGGGGGANCAAAGAGGGTAAGTGAGGTACTTATAGGGGGGATAGAATACGAATTGGATGTTGGAAGGATTGAGTGTGCTTGGATCATTAATAAACATACTCAAAGAAAAACAATTAATAATAATTATAATAAAATACTCAAAGAATCACAATTGATAATAATAGTAATAATCACAATAAAGAGGGCCGTTGAGATAATTAAAAATCCAAAAAGAATAAAATTTCGACCGTCTCAACAATTATTTGAATGTATTCGAAGAGACTTTTACACCCTAATTACATGGATGAAGATATGTGTGAACGGTTGGCATTGAATTCGGATAGATAAAGAGCGGTCAAATCATCTTTTATTACTCTTGTTAATTTCTAAGAGTTCAGGAGGTTACATGAGCTTTTAAGATCGATCGTTAATAAAAATACTCAAAGAAGAACTATTGATAATATTAATAATAATCATAATTAAGAGGGATGTTGAGATAATTAAATATCCAAAAAGATAAAATTTCGACCATCTCGAAAACTACATGAAAGAAGATACACACAGAGCTGGCTACATAGGATCATATCATGAACCGCCTTGCTGGAAATCCTTTAGTTAATTGGACCATTGTTGATTTTGTGTTGTTTCATTCTGGAAAACACGAAAATAACCATACCAATTACTTCTCTAATAATGAAACATATCCTTTCGTTAATTGGAGCATGGCTGATCCTTTGTCATTTCTTATCCCTCCTCCTTTGATGATGTGGCAATTTCTTGTGAGGGAATCAAAGATAAAACAGACATAATGGTCAACAAGATAAAGTGAATTGACAAATAAGGGTACAATTAAAATTAGAATAAAGAAGTGGACTAGGGGTATATTGGGCAATTCACGCCCAAAATTGGATCTGGAGCTGAGCTGCTGTCTCCATCTTTGTCGTCGCTGAGTTGCGCCTGGTCCGCAGCTTAGTCCGTCGCCGGTGCTAGCCTGGAGGTGGGTCGCCAAAGCTACTGCTCGCCGCTGGAACACCGCGGGTCAGGCCACGCTGGACTTTGGGTTCCCGATCGCTGCTCCGCTCTGTTTGCTACATCTGGCTTAACTGACGTGGCTAGTAGTTAGTTGAATCAGTTGTAATACTGTTAGAAGTTGTTAGAGGTTGTAGCCGTAAGCTGGTGTATAAATACTGCTGTATACAGTCATTAATAAACATGAATAACACAATCTTCTTCTCAAAATATCTTCTCTCCCTTCTCTCTCCTCCCAAAATATCTTCTGATCTTTCTTCTTCATTAAGTCTCATCCGCCATTTCTGCAAATCCTTGTAGCAAGGTTATCTTGCTATAACACTGCTGCTCGCCGCTGGTGAGCTTCACCGTCGGTTGGAGCTCACCGGAATCTCCAGTGCTGGTCTTCTTCGATTGATGCACAGAGGAGACGCCGGGGACCGAGCTGCGTTGTTTGGTCGCCTCGCTGATTTCTCCGTAGAAAAGAACCGGCAATTGGGATTTGGGAGCTTCAATTAGGATAACTTCTGAAAATTACAAATTGGCCCCAATTACATTAAATTAATTGCAATTCAGCCTCGCACTTGAATTTAAACTCTAAAATCAATCAAATATCACAAATCAGCCCATAATTAAGAATATGACAAATAATACACAATTAGGATCTAATTAATATTTAAATCTAAGTTAATAAGTCTATCAAAGATAACCAAATGTGCACAAAAAACAGACTTATCACCAACACATTTGTCCTCGTGATCTCAGTGGAGATGTGATAGCCAAAGCGGATCTGTACAGGGTATGGGTTAGAAATCTAGATTAGAAGTTTTGTCATAACAATTCGGAGAAGTGTGTCTCATCATGTTTTTATGTACCGGTGTAACTTGCATCTAGTGATTTAGTGGAGGGCTATTACACGGACGTGGACATCACAGATGTAGGAGAATTTGCTCCAAACTGCGTAAACATATCTGTTGTTATTTTTTACGCATTTTATAGTTACAGCATTCTGCCAGTAGGCACTGTAACACCTTCTGCATCATCTGCTTCTGTGTGTGTTTTTGACAGAGAAGTGTTATAGCATACTTTCCGTCATTTGTTACTATGACAGTGCTGCAGTATCTTCTCTACAACATAGTTGTTTGATTTGTTTGCATAGCTCTTAATTGGTGATTTCCGCTGCGCCCCCACGAACTTACATATGAATGATCCATTCCTATCAATCAATGAAAGAAAGGTGAGAAGTTTTAATGATTGTAAGGAAATAGGCTTGTAAAATATGGAATACATTGAGGAAGAATTTGAAGTGTGTAGATAATGCAAAGAGGGTGAAATGTATCGTTGGGAATAAGGGAAGACGCTTTTATTACACTCATTAGATCAGTTATGAAGATCAGATAATAATAATAATAATAATAATAATAATAATAATAATAATAATAATAATAATAATAATAATAATAATAATAATAATAATAATATTATTATTATTATTATTATTATTATTAAATCCTTTAGGAATAAAATTTCGATCGTTTCGACTACAATTTGAACGTATTCAGATGGCATTTTTAAAGGGATAAAATTTACAATTCAAAATGTAATTCAAGAATAAACATAAAACAAAGCTTTATAATATAAATTATAAATATATTCTAATCCGACGATAGTAAAGCTAAAATAAGAGAGTACACGATACAGCTTTATCAAAGGGGAAATTAAAAACAACAAACTAGAATAGTAGGACACTATAGTAACTTATCCAAATAAAACATCTAAATCAGTTAATAACTTCTCTAGGTCTGGCAGCTCCGTGCGATCCATCTTCATGATTCTCGTTTTTCAGTTTTTGAATGGGAAGTGTGTCCCAATTTTTAATCATCCACTCCAACATTCAAATCTTCTTATGAAGTTGATGATATCTATCATTCTTCTTTTCTTCTCCACTAGAATCACCTTTTTTTCCATAATTACAAGTCAAATACTTGGAGCGACACGGGAAAAAATGTTAGGAAATCTATAGAGTTGAGTATAAGAGTAAACGGTTTGCATTTAATTCTGCTAGAAAAATGCGCTAAAATTACCCTTTATTACTTTCATTAATTTCTAAGACTTGAAGAGATGAGTTGTTAAGTTAAAATTACTAATAAAATTAAAAAAAAATTACAATAAAATAATAAAAATAATAATAAGAAGAATCATAATAAAAAATAATGTGAAATTGTGAAAATTCCTTAAAATTTCAACCGTTTCGACTCTTATTTGAACGGTTTCGAAGAGGCTTGAATTCCTTATAGGTGTGAACGGTTGGCCTTGAATTCTGGTAGAAAAATGCGATCAATCAACCTTTATTACTTTTGTTAATTTGTAAGACTTGAGGAGATGAGTTGTTAAGTTAAAATTACCAATAAAACAATAAAAAAAACTTTTTTTATAATAATGTGAAATTTTGAAAATTCCTTAAAGAATAAAATTTCAACTATTTCGACTCTAATTTGAACATATTCGAAGAGGCATTAAATTCTGGTAGTTTTCTCATCCGGTCAAATCAGCTTTTATAACTTGCGTTACTTTTTATAACTTATGGTAGTTTGGCATTGAATTACGGTAACTAAAGAGCAGTGAAATGAATTATGGTGCGAAGTAGGTGTGAACCATAAATACTTCAGAATTTTATTATAAATAAGTATTTCATGATAAAATACATAAAATTTAACTTCAAATATGCCTAATAAAATATTATGCATATTTGAGGACATGAATGACAAAATCAAATCCACCAAAATGTTCGAAAAACAGTACTTGACTCTCATTGAGTCCATCAACCTCAATAAACGTTGGCCATGATTCCATGTAGAACATATTCCCATGGCTGCATGTTTGAACTTTAACTTCAAAAATGTGCGACGCTCGTTTATGGAATGAATAGTCACAACTTTATTATCCACAAAACAACCTTGAACATGATTCGGAAGTGCCTACAATAGATCCAGAGAATTTGTGAGTTGTAAAATATTACTTAAAGAAAAATAAAAAAATAAAAAAAATATAATGAAAGATCTATGAACAAACGAGTCGCTCTTTGAACTTGGGATCGTGCTCAAGGATTACTGTAAAATCAAACATATTGATTTTCAAAGTGCGGTCTTCTTCTACGGAACAGAAGAACTTAGTTAGAGAAAACCCGAATGCTAGTTGCGTATTTATATAGAGTGAGCGCGACGGAAAACTAAGAGACGTGAATTTTTAGAAGAGTCCCGCCATTTCATGAAAATGCGGGACGGGAAAAATTTAGTCCCGCCATTTCATGCAAACCATATTTGGATGGTTGGCCGTGACATCTCAGACGCATTTAATAATTAACAATTAATATCTCAGAACAGTGTGACTAAAAAACATTTCTCAGAGCAGTGCGACTAAAAAATAATACCTAGTCATAATTAAGTTCCGAGTTTACCTATAGTCATAACAATTAAGTTTATAATGTATTCGTACCTGTAGTGGTAACAATTAAGTTCAGAAGGTAGTAGTGGTAACAATTAAATTCCGAGTTTACCTGTAGTGTAGTCGCACCTGTATTGGTAACAATTAAGTTAAAATGTAGTCGTACCTGTTAGTTGTAACAATTAAGTTTAGTATGTAGTAGTGGTAACAATTAAGTTCCGAGTTTAACTGTAGCGTAGTCGTACCGGTACTGGTAAAAATTTAGTTTAGAATGTAGTACTGGTAATAATTAAGTTCCGAGTTTCCCTGTACTGTAGTCGTACCTGTAGTGGTAACAATTAAGTCCAGGATGTAGTTGTACCTGTTAGTGGTAATAATTAAGTTCTGAGTTTACTTGTAGTCGTAACAATTAAGTTTATAATGTAGTCATAACAATTAAGTTCTGAGTTTACCTATACCGTAGTCGTACCTGTAGTGGTAACAATTGAGTTCAGGATGTAGTCGTAACAATTAACTTACGAGTATACCTAACGCGTAGTCGTACCTGTACTGGTAACAATTAAGTTTATAATGTATTCGTACCTGTAGTGGTAACAATTAAGTTCAGGATGTAGTCGTAACAATTAAGGTCCAAGTTTACCAGATGCGTAGTCATACCAGTACTGGTAACAATTAAGTTTATAATGTATTCGTACCTATAGTGGTAACAATTAAGTTCAGGATGTAGTCGTAACAATAAAGTTCAGAGTTTACCTGTACTGTAGTCGTACCTGTACTGGTAACAATTAAGTTCAGAATGTAGTAGTGGTAACAATTAAGTTCCGAGTTTACATATAGTGTTGTTGTACTTGTACTGGTAACAATTAAGTTTATAATGTAGTCATACCTTTAATGGTAACAATTAAGTTCATGATGTAGTTGTAACAATTAAGTTTCGAATTTACCTGTATTGTAACCCTACCTGTACTAGTAACAATTAAGTTCAGAATGTAGTACTGGTAACAATTAAGTTCCGAGTTTAACTGTAGCGTAGTTGTACTTGTACGGGTAACAATTAAGTTCAAAATGTAGTAGTGGTAACAATTAAGTTCCGGGTTTACTTGTACTTTAGTCGTACCTGTACTGGTAACAATTAAGTTTATAATGAAGTCGTACGTGTTAGTGGTAACAATTAAGTTCAAGATGTAGTCATTACAATTAAGTTCTGAGTTTACATGTATTGTAGTCGTACCTGTAATGGTAACAATTGAGTTTATAATGTAGTCGTACCTGTATTGGTAATAATTAAGTTCAGGATGTAGTTGTAACAATTATGTTCCAAGTTTACCTGTGCTATAGTCGTACCTGTAGTAGTAACAATTAAGTTCAGAATGTAGTAGTGGTAATAATTAAGTTTTGAGTTTACCATTAGTCATACCTGTACTGGTAACAATTAAGTTTATAATGTAGTCGTACCGGTAGTGGTTACAATTAAGTTCAGAGTGTAGTCGTAACACATGCATGCTTCCGAGTTTACCTGTAGCGTAATCGTACCTGTACAGGTAACAATAATATTATCAATAATAATGGTAAAAATCTAGAAACAACAGTATTGGTCCACAACAGTAATGGTCCTACTAGTCCAAATTACAATCAACATTATAGAATCGGAAAGAATTAGCAATGTAGTACGGTTCCGTACTGCTCCAGAATGTACAAAATAAGAAATACAAAGAATATAGACTTTTTCTAAAAGACATATAGCAATAGTAAAAGGTTGAAAGTCAAAATTTTTGGAATTTTATTTAGGTGCCGCCATATTTATGTTGAATGAGAATTGAAAAGACAAAATTTTAGAATTTTTTGTGAGTCCCGCCATATTTATGTTAAATGAGAATTGAAAAGTCAAAATTTATTTTAGGGCTTCTCCATCGCTTCTTTATCTTCTTTCCTCGCTGCTTCCACCGCGACTCCTTCTCTCTAAAATCTTTCTTCATACCTTCACATTTTCCGCCGCCGTGAGTGAAAAAATGCCGCAATCCGATTTCATGGTGGTTCTTAAAGGGGATGATTCTTATTTTTATACTGGCACGGTAGGAGGTCACTCGAATGCATATGACTAACACATGCATGCCTATCTTTAAGTTCGATCTCATGATTTAAGGTCATTGCTTCTCTCTATCATCCACAGGAGGAGAGATTCGATATATATACTCGGATTGGGTGCTATTTAGTCCGAGTTGTTCTTGGACACGCCGGAAAGCATCGATTTGCTGCAGACGATGGATGGAGATACTTTCTTTATGACCACCAATGCAAAAATCTTTGGCATATTTTGTTCAAAAAATTATCACAAACAGCGTACACAGCCACTATGATTTTGACCCTTGGTTCAAAAGTTGACTACCCAATCACAATTCCTGATTATGATTCTGGTAAGACTTTCAGATATAGTATATGTTCCCCCCTGAATTCTAACTGTAATGTATGCGGTGATTTACAATTATCAGATGCAAATGATGAGGATGATGATGATGATGTGTTTGTTTGCAAATTGGAAGAATCACACTTTCGAAAGTCATCTAAGAAGCTGGTATGATTTTTTAGTTATAGTTGAACTTTCGGAATCCATGGTGTAGTTTCTCATTAATTAATGACTTTTAATCTGTTATTGCCTTAGCCCGTAAGTGAACAATTTTGTACTGCAAATGGCTTTGAAGAGGGAAAAACATATGTCACTCTCATAGGTACCAACATGCAGCCCGTAGTCTGCACAGTCAAGGTTGATTGTATTGGTGATGGGTTCCTGAAGACAATGTGGCATTACTTTGTTAATTCGAATGGCTTACGGGTTGGGGACAAGCTTGTGATGAGGCCGGTGGGGAACAACACCTTTATGGTGGGAGTTTACCGTCATCACTGACGGTAAAACAATAATCTAATTGTTGGTTTTTTAATGAACACTTGAATTTATCTGATCTTTTCCAAATATGTGTGCCTGGGGCTTTAATTTGTTTGTATAACTCTTTTCGGTTAAGTTCTTAGGCATTTCGACTCATTTGACCTTTTTCTAATTCAACAATTCGACTGGTTAAACCTTTTAAAAATATTTTCAACCACTCACTATTTTTAGATAGAGTAGAACTGTTTCAAGTTAGACTCTTTTTCAAACACATTTATTTTCGTCAAATACCATTTTTTAATTTAAATAGCACTTATTTTTGGATTTGATAAAAAAGACTTATTTATAAACAGTATATAATTGGAATACAACTTTTAGTAGACTTATTTCTAGACACTTTTGTTTCTTCAAAATCATTTTTTGGTATTTTTTTATAGGCATTAAACGAGGTTTGTTGAATAAAGATAAGGACTTACAAAACTAAACAAATTTTTTAATTTAAATACGGACAAGTGCATGAGTAATATGAAATTCACGTGGGCCATCAACAGAGTTTCGACTACTAAGAAGAATTTCGACCTCTATTCAAAAATATTTCGACCACTCACACACTGGTTTTAGTTGAGGGAATGTACCTTTTTCAAGTGGACCAAATAGATCTTTTGAGGCACTTTTTTATTTGAATACACCTTATTACAAAGCATGTTATGTAACACCCTAATCCGTCCAGGTCTGCAGCCCCTTTCGGACTAAAGTATTGATTTGGTAATCGTGATAATTTAAAACATTTCAAACATTTTTATTTATAAATAATATTCCATACATAATTGTAGAAAATACGGAGTGTTTAATAATAATGCGGAAGCGACTTTTAAACATGTCTCATAACAACATAATTATTTATTTGGTTCAATGATCCACCACAACTGTCTCGCCCCTTCTGCTTCCAGGAATCAGCCAATCATTCATTCTACCTACCTGCGTGTAGCAAATAAAACACACTACACGCTCAGCGGTGAAGCTGAGTAAGCATATCTAAAGTGTCGAACATTCAAATAAATTGAATCTCAATTCATAATCAACCATTGATATCATGCACCCAATATATAATTCAAACGTTCATGATATTCTCACTATTTTATTCCAAGTCATTTGATATTCAATATCTCAACCATGCTCTTAAATTATTCTTAATCTAAGGTCAAATCATTTTATAACAAGCTCTTAGCTATTCCTAGTCTAAGGCAACATTTCTAACCAGGCCCTTAAATTATAAATAGTTTAATGCAGAACACAAGAATCGATAATCCACCCTCTGAGTCATGTGGATTACGTACCAACCGAACAGTGAACTGTCGGGTGGGTGATATCCGTTCTGGATCCCGTACGTACGTTTTAACCCGAAATATGAATTGGTCAAGTAGGTATATCTTAGAGTTCTTCTAGATATCTTTAATAATCATCATCAATATACAAGTGGGTATATCTTAGAGTTCTTCTAGATATCCTTAACAATATACACTGTTTTCATAATCACCATTAATTCATTTTTTTAATCATGACTTAATCATCAATAATCATTTTAATCAGTAGGTTTATCATTCATAATTATCCATAATAATTTTTCATCATAATGATCATTCAACATAATATTTAATAGCAAACAGCGGCCTAGTCTCGGGTGTTAACACCCGAACTTATCGTCATGCATCACATAATGTTTTATATGCCAAAAACATCATTTATTATACAAAATCATATTTAAATTGTTCTTAATTAATTAGTATTTTCGAATAATATTTCCAAGAATATTTTCGGAACACTGGAATTGAGGAAAAATCGATTTATTCAATAAATTAATATAAAAATCGATTTTTGAATATATATTAATCTATTAAATTTATAAAAATCGATTTTTCAACATATTTGAATCGATTAATTTGTAAAATCGATTTTTCAACATATTTTAATCGATTAATTTGTAAAATCGATTTTTCA